CGCCACAGAATTACGAGTCCTGCGCGCTATCCACCAGGCTACGAGGCCCCCTGCAGGAAGAGAATCTGAACTTGACAGGGAACAGGAAACTTAAAGGACTACATGAGACCACCAGAGCCTCCACAAACTTGGATGCCAGAAAGCCAAAAAACTAGCCACAACAAGTGGCACCCTAGAAATAAAACACAGATGGATTGTAAACTGGCTTGTGGTCAAGGCTCCAGAGTAGGAACTGAAGCAAATTTCTGTAAGCCACACTTGAGGACAAGACACTATAGGGCATAGAGAACATGTGTAAAGAGAACATATCCAGACCACAAACTGGGACCTGGAAATATGCCCATGGGGAAGCAGAGGCATCCATCTCATTCTGGGACAGAGGACACCGTGTCTGGTCCTTGTAATTACCTAAGTGTAGTTACAGGATGAGAGCTACGCTCGTGGTGTCCCGTCTTCCCAGCACTCTGTCATATAACACTTTGAAATTACTGACGGTTTTGGCCTCCACCACCTTCTCACCTAACTTGTTCCAACCGTCTACCACAGTGTTTACAAAAGTGATTTTTTTTATATTTCTCCGGCAGCTTTGTTTCGTGAGTTTAAATCTATGACCTCTTGTTCTTGAAGATCCAGGTCTCAGGAATTCTACCCTATCAATTTTATTGATTCCTGTTACTATTTAGTATGTAGCGATCATATCGCCCCTTTTTCTTCCATCTTCTAGTTTTTGCATATTTAATGCCTCTAACCTCTCCTCGTAGCTCTTGTCCTTCAGTTCTGGGAGTCACTTAGTGGCATGTTGTTGCGCCTTTTCCAGTTTGTGTATGTGCTTCTTAAGATATGGGCACCATACAACCGCTGCATATTCAAGCTTTGGTCTAACAAAAGTCGTGAACAATTTCTTTAGTGTTTCTCCATCCATGTACAGTATTTAAAAGATATTCTGAAGTTAGAAAGTGTAGCATAGGCTCCTCGCACAATGTTCTTAATGTGGTCCTCAGGTGACAGTTTTCTGTCTAGAACCACCCCTAGATCCATTTCTTTGTCAGAATTCTTTAAAGATTTCTCACATAATTTATAGGTTGTGTGTGGGGGTCTATGTTCTCCAATTCCACGTTCCATAACTTGGCATTTATTCACATTAAATTCCATTTGCCAAGTGTTGCTCCATATACTTATTTTGTCCAGGTCTTCTTGAAGGGCATGACAATCATCTAGGTTTCTTATCTCCCTATTATCTTAGCATCATCACCAAACATGTTCATATAATTCTGTATTCCAACTGGTAGATTGTTTATGTAGACAATGAACATTACCAGGGACCAGTCGACCAGGAGGCCTGGTCGACGACCGGGCCGCGGGGATGCTAAGTCCCAGAAGCACCTAAAGGTAAGATCCCAATGCAAGAATTGAACCCTGTGGTACTCCACTAGTGACATTCCTCCAATCCGACACATTGCCTCTGATTGCAGCCCTCATTGTTTTGTCAGTCAGGAAATTTTTCATCCATGTTAGAAGCTTACCTGTCACCCCTCCAATATGTTCCAGTATCCAGAACAACCTCTTATGCGGAACTCTGTCAAAAGCCTCTTTTAGATCCAGATAGATGCAGTCAACCCAACCTTCTCTTTCCTGTAAAATCTCTGTGGCTCGATCATAGAAACTGAGTAAGTTCGTTACACAGGACCTTCCAGTTCGAAAACCATACTGTCTGTCTGATATTATATCATTTCTCTCCAGGTGTTCTACCCATTTAGTTTTAATTATTTTTTCCAATATTTTGACTATGACACTTGTCAATGATACAGGTCTATAATTAAGGGGGGTCTTCCCTGCTGCCACTTTTGTAGATTGGAACTATGTTAGCCTTTTTCCACACATCAGCTACAACTCCTGTAAACAGGGATGCCTGAATAATCAATTGAAGTGGAATGCTGAGCTCAGGTGCACATTCTCTCAGAACCCATGGTGAAACTCAATCTGGACCAACTGCTTTGTTCTTTCTTAGCTCCTTGAGCATTCTTTCCACTTCGTCTCTAAACACCCTTTATGTGCTCTGTTGTTCTCTGGAATTCTTATTGTGTCTGGTTCCCTGAAGATTTAATTTTGCACAAACACACTTTGGAACTTTTCGTTTAATGTTTCACACATTTCCTTTTCATTTTCTGTGAATCTATTTCCCATTTTCAACCTCTGAATATTATCCTTTACCTGCAATTTGTTGTTTATGAATTTATAAAATAGACCTGGTTCCGTTTTACATTTGTCTGCAATCCCTTTTTCAAAATTTCTTTCTGCCTCTCTCCTCACTGCCGTGTAGTTGTTTCTCACATCTTTGTATCGCTGGTAAGTTTGGGGGTTTGGCGTTTTTCTATATTGATTACATTTTGTCTTTTGGTCTCTGGCCTTCTCGCAATTTCTGTTGAACCAATCCTGTTTCCTAGTTCTGCATCTCTGTTTTGGTATAAATTTTTTTTGTGCCTTTATCATATATTTCACAAAACTTGACATACATCTCATTTACTTCCTTTCCTAACAAGAAGTCTGTCCAATTATATACTCAATAAAAAAATTTCTAACCTTGCCATAATGTCCTCTCCTGAAGTCAGGTTTTTCAAGTACTTCAACCTCCTTTTCTTCCAGATTATAATGCATTGCATACTTTATTCCCAAAAAGACATGGTCACTTTTACCCAAGGGTGGAAGGTACTGAATGTCAAATATCTCTTCCGCCTTCCTGGTAAACATCAAATCTAGCATGGCGGGAACGTCCCCTTCCCTCATCCTTGTAGCTTGTTTAACATGTTGATATAAGAATATTTTCAGGATGAGGTCTACAAATCTATAGGTCCAAAAATCCTCTGTTCTAGCTTCATATGCTTCCAGTTTCACTTCTACGAAGGTGTGCCCCAGGGTAGTGTTCTGAGCACTACTCTTTTTCTGGTTGCCCTCAATGGTCTTCTTTCCTCTCTTCCTTCTGGTGTCTTCTCCGCTCTCTATGTCGATGATCTTACCCTTTGTTGTCAGGGTGATGATTCGCCTCTCCTTCAACGCCGGCTTCAACTTGCGATTGATGCCGTGTCGTCTTGGGCCACAGGTATGGATTTCAAGTTGAAGTCCCCAACTATCAACAGTCATGAACTTTATCCGTTCTCGCTATAGTCTCTATCATTATTGTTATAAGACCCTCTCGTTTACTATCTAGTTCCTCCTTTGTCCATGTTTTGCTTGGCGGTGGACTATATGCATTTATGATCATTAATTTATCATCCTCATGGCAGATCTCTAGTGCAAATACGTCAACTTGTCAACTAGCAATTTCGTTGGTTTGTCTTTTTGTTCCATTTTACTGGCCTGCCTACCCCTATCACTTCTACAAAGTGATAGGGGTAGTCTTGTGTCTTGTGCCTGGATCTGAATGGAGTTAGAGCTAGCTATAAGGATCTGTGCCGAATCCTTATGCCTATCTCTAACTTGACTATGTGCTTAGCTCCGACTGAACTGTATGCTTGGCTCCGACTGGACTGTGTGCTTAGCCCTTTGTGTCGGGCTCTGGCCGGACCCCGTGTCCAGCCGGGCTCTGGCCGGACCCCATGTCCAGCCGGGCTCTGGCCGGACCCCGTGTCCAGCCGGGCTCGGGCCGGACCCCGTGTCCAGCCGGGCTCGGGCCGGACCCCGTGTCCAGCCGGGCTCGGGCCGGACCCCGTGTCCAGCCGGGCTCGGGCCGGACCCCGTGTCCAGCCGGGCCCGGGCCGGACCCCGTGTCCAGCCGGGCCCTGGCCGGACCCCGTGTCAGCCGGGCCCGGGCCGGACCCCGTGTCTAGCCGGGCCCTGGCCGGACCCCGTGTCCAGCCGGGCCCGGGCCGGACCCCGTGTCCAGCCGGGCCCGGGCCAGACCCCGTGTCCAGCCGGGCCCGGGCCATGTGCCTGGCTGTTCTTGAAGCATGTCCTCGAATATTTCCAGACTGCATGCTCAAGTGATTACGAGCCATGTCCTGGATCTTCTCAGACCATGCTTCTGGCTCTTCATGGGTCATGCATCTGGCTCTCTCTGAACCTTGCACCTCTCTGTTCCAGGGTTGTGCACCCAGTTCTGGCTGGGTGGTGTCCCAGCTCTTTCTCTGGTCTAGTCTTATTTTTTGTCTGCAGACACTGGTGCTGCGTGTTTGTGCTTCAGGCCAGGGTGTTCAGACATTTCTAGGCTGTCCTAAGTTGTTTCTGGGTTGGATGCTGAGGACTGCCTGGGCATGGTGCATGTTGGCTCTTGGGCAGTGTTTGTGGCATTTGCTGGTTAGTTTACCTTGTCTTTCTGGTTTTATTGTCTGTATTACCTGGGCTGTTAACCCAATGGCACAGTATTTCTTTGATGTGCTTGGGTCCGATGGCCAGCTCCTGGGGTTTTCGGCTCCGAGTTTCAGGGTGCCTGCAACTGTCCATTGGTTGTTGGCTCCTTTTGGGTCCTTTTGATTTTGTCCAGATGTTGATCTGTCTGTGCTTCTTTGATGTATATTTTCTGCCTGCTTGGTTGCTGTTTAGGCTCGAGGCTTTGCTTCTCCAAGCATTGATTTATATTGTTGCATTTGTTTTCTGATGTTTTTTATTATTGGTTTTGGTGATTTCTGATCTCCAAGCTTCCCTTGTGTCTTGGAGAAAGCCAAATTCTGGTCTAGAGTCTTGGTAGGGAAGTGAGAGTTTCAGAGGCCTAGTGCATCTCCCTGAGACTGCCTGGATCACCAACCAAGCATCACTTGGGCAGCTACTGAGAGCCCCACCAGGAAAAGGCAAAAAATTACTAAAATTGATTATTTTACTGAGCCTATTGAAATGAAGACACATATTATATAATGTGTTAACCTTAGAAATATGTACTGTACAGTATATTCATTAACTTGCAAGAATTTTTTTATATAAAAGTACAATAAAAATGTATAGCTACTTACTAATCTTTTATTTCTTTTTTTAAGCAATGATAATAAAGGCATACTATTATTTCTCAACAGAATGGGTATGGTGGACACATTACGTCTTATCTACAAGGAGAATGGAATTAGCCGAGGTTTATATCGAGGAATGAGCATCAACTATATGAGAGCGATTCCAATGGTAGCAGTTTCCTTTTCAACATATGAAATTACTAAGCAAATGTTAGGTCTTGATACAGGCCTTAGTATCAAGACTGGATAGCTTGGATTATATGCCAATACAGTAGCTACATCAAATTTAGCTTTTTGTCTGTGAGGGCATATTTGTACAGGTAATATGAAATTTTAAATTTTGTTTAGAAGGTAACTTATTTCAGTACAGTACTCTATGTTCATATCTATTAAAATGAATTAATTTGCTAAAATATATATAAAATTCCATATGGCTATACCTTTCATAAGAAAATTCATGCCAAATGAAGAGTTATTTATAAGCTGAAGAAATGTACAAAAAAATTGTCTATTACTTTATGAATAAGACCCATTTGAACACTAGGTAGAAAAGTTTTGCAGTGATATTATCTTGATAAGTATGAACAACCAAGTTAAATTCCATTACTTATGCCCTGTATCACACATTGAAATATCAGCTAATGTTACCTTAGCACGAAAGCATAATATTTACGGTAAATTTGGGTTTGGAAATTCAAATCCATTCCATTTTCTCTAACCCTTTTATTTTTCATATAATAGTTGCATTGATTACTAATAAAGGTAAGCATAACAAGTACTGCTGTTAGACAACCATTGACATGTACATTTAACTTTTGCTCATAGTTCACTATCATCAAAAATGGATCTAGTAAGTTCAGGCCTCATACAGAAGTGCATTATAGCATGCGATAAAAGCGTCGGTTGAATGGTTACACGAGAGTGAGCTCTTCATACACTAAGTCATCAGATACAGTGGCAAAAAAATAAGTAATGATCAAGATGCATTATTTGTGATGGGTTTTGTACAAGTGGTAAAGTATGTGTATTGATGAATGTACATCTTAATGGTGTGACAGTGTTATAATGACATAATGTACTGTAAAAACATGTTGTACTTACCAAGGACTTAAGGAAATTTTGTTAGGGATCTAGTGGTGTAAAGATACTGTACTGTATGGCATAATATGTATTTTGATGATATTTTACTATCTTTAATTGTTGAATGTAAATTATAGTATAACAGAGAATTATTGCAGAACTGTTATAAAATAAGCAAGCCCATATTTGAACGCTGCTTTCCTGATGGGCTTAATGTTCAGAAAACAATTCTAAACCAGTGCACATGTTCCGTCTGATGTGCAGTACAGTAAATCAGCATGTGTCCAGTGAGGATGACCTAGTGTGTTTTAAGCTTCAAGCAATAAAATGCTCCATTCATGCACCTTGAAGTGATAGAAAGCATTATTGTATAGCAATGATTTATTTCATAAAAATTTCACACTTCAATTATTACATTTATTTATTTTCTGATAGGCACTTATTGTTTTGAATTGTCATGTATAGTATTTGATTTCATATCATTAAATTCAGTGAATCTCTATATTCATCAGATTCTATATCCATCACATTTTACAACAAAAATGCTTCTATGTTCATCAGTATTTTCCATATTCATGACCCACCGGAACATCACGCAGTCAACTAGTCCACCCAGTCATCCTTGTGGCTAGAATATGTCAGAGAGACTTTGAAGGTTTTGACTCGGAGCCTGTTGTTGAGGAAATGGTGTGTGGGCTGGTTCATGGGACTAGAGGTTGATAGTGAGGATGTAGAGGATGGTGGAGGACCATGGAAGGGAGCACACCACATTAAAACTGTTGGATCTTTATAAAGAACAGGAAGCTGAAACAGTGGAGGAAACTTTATCAAAGGAGGAAGGGTCCAATTGGGCCCAAACACAGAATATGGTAGAAAAGTGGCGCCCGAACATTGCCACAGTTAATCAAAACAAGTGCATTCAATGGCGATGTAAGTGGCTACTTCAGTGAAGTTTTAAAAAATAGAGATGGACAACATTGTATAAGGTCTTTGCTAAGCAGAGTGCTGGTGAATTGTTGGCAAGGGGAATAGAATGACAAGTCACCAGAACTGGAGTTACCTGATGTTTTAATGGAAGGTGAACCCCCTTCTAAGCAATAATTCCTTTCCTCCTCTTTGGCTTCTACCATTTTCTCTCCTCAGTACAGTAAACATAAAAGTCCTGGCTAAATTTTTATATATTTATGTATTATTTTTTGGGACTGGAAACAGATTTAAATTTCAGTTACATACTTCTTATGGGAAATATGTTTACAATATTCATCAGGCCGTCAAACAGATTAATGATGAATACAGAGGTTCCACTGTCTTTACTACTAGCTGATTAATGAAGGCTTTCATGATTTAGTGATATTTATTATAATAGTATGATGTATCTTCGCAGTATAGGAGAGTAATTGTTCATAGTTCTTCACTTAATTTAAATTTGCAAGACAGCCTAGTTGAAATGGTAGTGAATAATTGAAGTTTTATATTAAAATCCTGCAATACATGTGTAACTACACGTTACAGGTCGGCAGAATTAACTGCAATGTGAAAATTATATTTTTAAAATTAAAGGATGTTAAAAGCTTTGCTAATTTGCAAAAATATATTTTAGAATACTGTAACTATACAATAGCATAATACACTATTGTCAATGAAAATAAAACATTATTTAAACATTTTAGATATAAGTGAATATTTATGTACTCACCTGAATGTGCTTGCAGAGTCAATCACTTAACTTCTGAGCTCTGCCTTACCTGATGTCTGTTGTTCAATACAATGACTCCCAACCCTCCTTAGTCCAACCACTTGGGCTGGACGGTAGGGCGACGGTCTCGCTTCATGCCGGTCGGCGCTCAATCCCCAACTGTGCAAGTAGTTGGGCACCATTCCTTTCCCCGGTCCCATCCCAAATCCTGAACTCTTTCAACTGCTATTATAGTTGTAGTAATGATTTGACACTTTCTCCTGATAGTTAACTTGGTTCCCAACCCCCTCCCCGCTCAGCTCGTTGTCGCCGTGTGGGGGCTTAGTGGGCGGCTGCCGGAGTGTGATGCTCCTTGGGACAGTCCTCTGTCCTTTTCTAGCCTTGTGCTCCTGCTGCCGTCCTCTCCAATTCTGCTGGGCATCTTTTCCTTTTCCTTCTGTTTCGTTTTTCTCCCCCCTCTTCTCCTATCTGCTTGCCGTTTCCTACCGACCTTTTGCTCGTTCTGGTTCTTCCCTTGGACTTCTTCTATTTTGACGCCCGGGTGCTTGAGGAGGCATACTCATGCACCCGTAGAACTGCAGTACCCGACGTCGAGAGCGAGGGGAACCTTTTATTGTCAATCCCCACTTCGTCACTGAACCCGATCTCGACGGACTGTCGGTTTCTTAAGGTGGCGTTTGTGGGGCGTATACTCGCGACGCACCCCTAGGAGGCCCCGACAAGATCGGCGATAGCTTCTTGTTGGGTGTCCTGCCTCTAATTGTGGCTCCATGGTGGGTGTGGGGGCACATTCGTGAGTGAATTCTTTCTTTCGTCAAGATGATTACCCCTGCTTCGGCTTCTTCTGGTTTACCTTCTCAGGCTCGTGGGGTGGGCGACCAAGCCCCCGAGTCGGTCCGTATTGGAAGACCGGGCTCTGTAGCCTCCGCTGCATTGGGCCCCGACCTTGCTCCTCCTTTGGCCTCTCTGACTCCTTCCTCTGGCTCCCCTCCCTCCTCTGTGGTTGGGTCGAGCCCCAAGCCCCCAGTGGTGACTACCTCGTCCCCTGGCGCGGCTCCTTCTCTAGTTGTAACTACTGCGCCTTTTAACCCCTCTCTCTCTGGGGGTTCTCACCGCCGTCCTCGTCACGGCCGCCCTCGCTCGATTCCTTCCAGTTCTGCTACCTATCAAGCCTTGTTTGGTCCCGCTTCGTGGGCCAAATATTTTGATCTCCTCCCTCTTGATTCTGCGCCTCCTGACGATTTCTCCCTCCATCGACATCTCATTGATTCCGTGGATGCCTCCATTACTTTCAACCCCACTCGTCTCGGTACACGTGTCGTTGCTGCTCCTTCTCAGGATGCTGCTTCCCGCTTGGCTGCCTTATCCTGCCTTGGCGAGACCCCCGTTCGGGTCTCGAAGAACGTTCAGTTGAATGCCAGTGTTGGCACTATTTTGCTCCCGCCCCATGTTGCGACCGGTGTTCGGGACCTGCGCGACTGCCACGACGATATTCGACATATCCTCGCTGCCCAGGGCCATTCTATTCTCCAGGTGGACACGTTTACTCGTCCCCCTCGTGGTAGTCGCCGTCAACCCCTCCGGGTTGTGAAGATTACCTTTGATGGTAGGACCCTTCCACCCTCTGTCATTCTTGCTGGTGCCAGGTGCTCTGTCCAGGAGTACATTCCTTCTCCTCGGCTCTGCAACAAGTGCTGGAGGTTTGGGCATGGTGCCCTCCGCTGCTCCGGGACTGTCTCTCTCTGTCCTTTGTGTGGTGGCGAAGGTCACTCTAAGTCGGAGTGCGCTTCTCCCCAGGCTCGTTGCCTCAACTGCGGTGAGGCCCATCCTACCTTCTCCCGTGCGTGTGTCCATTACAAGCTTGAGGCAGCCGTCCTCAACTTGAAGCACCGGGAGCGTTTATCTTTTCCTGAGGCGAGGCGCCAGGTTCGCCGGCTCCCGCCTTATGCTAATATCTCTTATGCTCGCGTGTTGCGCTCTTCCTCTCCTCGTCCTTCCCGCCTTCCTCAGACTCACAACCGTTTCCGGGCCTTGGACCCTGATGCGCCCACTGCCCCCTCCTCTGTCCCTTTGGGTTCTCTCCCGAAGGATCCTCCTCCTGGTCCTCTGTCTGGGGTTCCCCTTCCTTCTACCCGGTCTGTCGTGTCTTCTGTGTCTTCTTCCTCGTCCCCCTCCGATCCTCCTTCCCATCCTCTTCCTCCATCTATCGGCTCTCCCCGCCGCCTGTCGGTGCGGGCGGATGTCCATCGCTCTCCTAACGGCCGTCGTGTGTGCTCTCGTTCGGCTTCTCCTGTTGAGACACTGGAATCCGTTGCCCGGTACGTAGTTGCTGGGACACCGGTCTCTTTAAGTCAGAAGCGTAAGCCTGGCTCCTCTCCTTCCTCTTCCCCGGCGGGTAAGAAGGCTTCGCTTTCTTCCTCAGCTCCTCCTTCTGGCTCTGTTGCTCCTTCCCCTCCCGTTTCAGTGCTTGCGCCCCCTGTTCCTGCTATGGAGGTTTCTTTGGCCCCTGCTTCCCTTTCGGTTGCTGCTCTTGCTGGGGTGCGCTCCTCTCTTTCTACTCCCCCTCTTCCTGCTGCTGTCCTTGACTGCTCCTCTCCGTTGTCTCCTCCTCCTCCTCCTCCTCCTCCTCCTCCTCCGGACCCTGCCCGCCCACCTCTGATCTGTTCTCCCGTTTCCTTCCCTCCGTCTTTGCTCAGTTTACCCATGCCCCCTAACCCTGACTTTGCTGACCCTGATCCCGACCCTGATATTCTTTAACGTGCTCTGTTGGTCTTTCGCCTTTGTTTCTTCCTTGTTCTCTGTTTTTGTCCTTTCTCTTCTCGTCGTTGTCCATTCTTCAATGGAACGTTCGAGGTTATTACGCCAATTTCCTCGAACTCCAACTTCTGGTTTCGCGGTTTTCGCCCCTTTGTGTCTGTCTCCAGGAGCCAATGCTTGGTGCTCGTCCTGGTCGTTTTCGTGGCTATTCCTTTCTCTCCCCCCCCCCCCCAGCCATTGCTGGGGCTTCTAATTCTTCTGCTCTCTTGATTCGGGCTGATGTTCCCTTTGTTCCTTTACTTTTTCCTTCGCCTCTCCATTGTTCTGCTGCTCGTATCTTTGTGGGGAAATGGTACACAGTTTGTTCCATTTATCTCCCCCCGAGTGTCCCGCTCTCTCTTCCTGATTTGAAACACCTCCTAGACTCCTTGCCGGAGCCTGTGCTCCTGCTGGGTGACTTCAATTGTCGTCATTCTCTTTGGGGTGACGTTCTGACGAATACCCGGGGTCGCCTCCTTGAGCCGTTTCTCCTCTCTTCTTCCCTGTCTCTTCTGAATTCTGGTGAGCCCACTCATTTGGACTCTCGAACTCGCACCCTTTCTTGTCTTGATCTTTCTCTCTGCTCTTCTTCTCTTTACTTAGATTTCACGTGGCAGGTTCTTGATGACCTCCATGGAAGTGATCATTTCCCCATCCTTGTTTCCTTTTTCTCTTTTCGCCCTTCCCTCTCTTTCCCTAGGTGGCAGTTTGCTAAGGCGGACTGGACCCTATTTTCCCTCAGTGCTACTCTCTCTGACCTCTCCCTTCTGCCCCTCTCTCGCGCTCTCCTCCTTTTTCATGACACTGTCTTCGACGCTGCCCTCCGCTCTATTCCTCGCTCTTCCTCTCGGGGTCCACGGAAGTGCGTTCCCTGGTGGAATGCGGACTGTGCTCGGGCTGTCCGCTGTAAGCGTGCAGCCTGGAAGAAGCACCGCCGTAGGCAGACGACCGATTCTTTTCTTTTCTTTCGGAAAGCGAGTGCGGTGGCCCGTAGGGCCATCCGTACGGCTAAACGTGAATGTTGGGCATCTTATGTCTCGACAATTACGTCCGAAACCCCTCTGGCCCAGATCTGGAAGCGTATCCGCAAGATAGCGGGTAAGTTCGTTCCCGATGTTTCACCGGTCCTTCACCTCCATGATACTCTTGTGGCGGACCCGTTGCAGGTCGCTTCCGAACTGGGTTCCCACTTTTCTTCTGTTAGCTCTGGTCTTCATCTTCCCCAATCTTTCCTTCTTCGTAAACCTGTCCTTGAGTCTCGTCCTTTAGATTTCTGCACTCATCTTCAGCTTCCCTATAATGATCCCTTCTCTCTCTCTGAACTTCGTTCTGCCCTGGCCCTCTGCGGTTCTACGGCGGCGGGCTCCGATGGTATTCATTATGAGATGCTTCGCCATCTCCCTCCGAGCACGTCTCAGTATTTACTGAGTCTGTATAATCGGATCTGGGAGTCGTCGTCAGTCCCTGAGGACTGGCTCGATGCCGTTGTCCTCCCTGTTCGCAAACCGGGGTCTCTGGGTACTTCCCCTAAGGACTTTCGCCCTATTGCTCTCACAAGTTGTGTCTGCAAACTCTTTGAACGTATGGTTAACGTTCGTCTGATGTGGTTCCTGGAACACCATCACCTCCTCTCCCCTTCTCAATTTGGTTTCCGCAAGTGCCGCAGCACGACAGATGTCCTGGTGAACTTGGAGGTCTATATTCGTACTGCTTTTGCTGCGAAGACCTCCGTTGTTGCCGTCCTTTTTGACCTAGAAAAGGCTTACGACACCACTTGGCGTTATCATATCCTATCTCAACTTCATTCTTTTGGCCTTCGTGGTCATCTCCCTCTCTTTCTCCGCAGCTTCCTCTCTCGTCGTTCCTTTCGGGTGCGCCTTGGTACCGCTCTCTCTCCCTCTTTTCAGCAATACGAAGGTGTGCCCCAGGGTAGTGTTCTGAGCACTACTCTTTTTCTGGTTGCCCTCAATGGTCTTCTTTCCTCTCTTCCTTCTGGTGTCTTCTCCGCTCTCTATGTCGATGATCTTACCCTTTGTTGTCAGGGTGATGATTCGCCTCTCCTTCAACGCCGGCTTCAACTTGCAATTGATGCCGTGTCGTCTTGGGCCACAGGTCATGGCTTCAAGTTCTCTACTTCTAAGACTTGTGCCATGACTTTTACGCGGAAACGGGTTGTTCTTCGTCCCTCTTTGTCACTTTATGGTCATCCCCTTGAATACAAAGATTCCGCGAAGCTTTTGGGGTTATTCCTTGACACTCGTTTGTCTTGGTCTCCCCATATCTCTTACCTCCGTGTTGAGTGCTCTAAGGCCCTTACCCTCCTTCGGGTCTTGTCCCATACTTCTTGGGGGGCAGATAGGCGCACTCTCCTTGCTTTACATTCCTCTCTCGTCCTGTCTAAGCTCGATTATGGTTGCCCTGCTTACTCGTCTGCTTCTCCTTCTACTCTTCGCCGTCTTGATGCTTTGCACCATACTGGGTTGCGCC